AGTTTTCCATCCCTGGAAAGCCAAGCCGACCCCAGCAGGGACCACGGAGACCCCAAAAACCCGCGGGGAGAGCTCCCACCACCACCAGCCCCCCGGGAGTGCCCCGACACCATCCCCCGCGGCCAGGGCGGGGAAGGTCCGGGAGCAGCGGGAAGCGAAAGGCGAGGGAGTGCCAGGGAGAGCCGGGGGCAATGGGGGGGATGTCCCCAAACCTTGCGGTGGGGGAACCGGGGGTCCCTGTGCCGGGGGAGCCCGGGGCGCACGGGGAGGGCGAAGCCGCCCTGGCGGGGGGACGGAGCCGAGGGGCGCGGGGGGCTCGGCGGGGCGGGTGTGTGACGGGATCCCCGGGGCGGGGATGGGATATCCCGCTGTCCCTCCCTCCCTCCCTCCGTGCCGGTCGCGGCCTGCGCTGCCCCCGGGCCGGGGGGCGCCGGGCAGCGCCGGGCGGTGCCGGCGGGGTGGGCGGCGGGGCCGGGGCTGATGCCGGGGCCGGGGGTGGGGTCGGGGCCGGGGGTCGGGGCCGGGCCGGGGCCGGGCCGGGTCCCCCCGCCCGGCTTTACCTGCGAGCCGGGAGCGCCGTCCGGCCCCGCCTCACCTGCGCCAGGTGAGACACGTGACGCGGACGGGCCGCGCCGAGGGACAGCAGAGCGCGCCGGGCGAAGCGGCTCCATCCCGCCGGGAATGCCGCTCCATCCCGCCGGGAATGCCGCTCCCCCGGGGAACATCCCTCCCCCCGGCCCCCCGGGGGTCTGCGTCAGAGCAGCCGAGCAGCCTCATCCCCAGCGGGCCGCGTCCCGAAGCAGCGCTGGCTCCCCGGGGATCGGCTCCCCCGAGGGTCCCCGTCCCCACCCTTAAGGTCTCCATCCCCGAGGATCCCTGTCTTGAAGGATCCCTAACCCAGTGTATCCTCATCCTCAAGGATCCCTGTCCCTGCCTCAAGGTATCCTAATTTCCAAGGATCCCTGCCCTGAAGGATCCCCATTCCAATGTATCCTCAACCCCAAGGATCCCTGTCGTAAAGGATCTCTAATCCAATGGATCCTAATTCCCAAGGCTCCCTGTCCTGAAGTGTCCCTATCCCAGTGTATCCTCATCCCCAAGAATCCCTGCTCCAAGGGATTCCTATCCCAATGTCTCTGCATCTCTGAGGATCCTTGCCCTGAAGGATCCTTATCCCAAAGGATCTCTGTCCTGAAGGATCCCTATCCCAATGTATCCTCATCCCCAAGGATGCCTGTCCTGAAGGATCCCTATCCCAAAGGGTTGGGGGGGTTGGATCCTTTCCTGAAGGTTTGGAAAAAAGGATGGAAACCCATTGGGAAGGTGGCAGCAGGGCAACAGCTGTCCACTGAGGCTGCTGCCAGTTTCCAGGAGGAAAGAGAAGAGAGAAATCAGTTTAAAGGATGATGCCAAGAGTCTCTTTCCTTCTCTAAAGGGCACAAAGACAGTGTTTATTTATTCGAGCCTCTGGCACTGAAGCCCAGCCGATGTCGTTTCCCCGTCTGGGATTTCATTTGTGGATAACTCACAGCACTGCTTGGAAATGTGTCCTCTCCTCTGCCAGCTGCCTTGAGCAGAGATCCCGGCCATGAAACCTCTCCTGTCACTGTCCCATGCAGCCTGGCACTTCCAGGATGAGCTGAGCAGCACAGTGTGACCCCCTGAACCAACAACCACTCAGCTCCCGAATTTTTCCCTGTGTCCCATCACCTCCCCTGTCCCAAACTGCTGATGCTGGGTCCAGGGTGGTGGGACAGGGAGCTGGGTCAACCCAGGAGTCCTGGGGTTTAAACCTGAAATCCTGATGCAGGATTCTGTGGCAATGGATTTGCCGTATGCAGGATGGAAAAAGTCCTGTCAGAGACGGACTGGTGAGAAAAATACCTCAAATGTTATAGAAACAGAAGTTTTCAATGTGGTTTAAACATGTTTTTTGTATTTTCTGCGGTGCCACTGTCTCCCTCTCCCCGACACCCCCTGTGAAGCTATTGTCTCACATAAGGTGTCCTGGGAAGGTGTCCGGAGGTGTTTCTCGTTGGTCCTTTGTTAACCCCTTCCTATTGGCTGTCGACCCTTTACCTGATGGTTTTTTCTGTGTGACCCTGAACTTGTGATTGGTCCCCTTTTGACCCTCCTGAAAGCCTTATAAACCCCGACCCCACAATAAACTTCCTCTTTCGTCCGTCCCTCCCAGGTGGTCTGTGTGTGCTCCTTGCGGGGTCACCGGACGACGTGCAGGGGTGGGGGGAAGGGCATTCAACTCTCAGGTAATGGGGCCGGCACCCTAAGGCCTGGAGGTCTCCCCCATTCCCACTAATCCATCGTAGGATTCCTTCCCTTAAACTGTGTCAAGATGAGAGACCAGCGCCTGGGCCCCCCTGTCCTGGTAACTGGGACACCTGGGGACAAACCTGCAGAGAGGCTGGGAGATATGGCAGCAACATTAATTATTTGCTGCCTGTAACAAGGCTTTGTTTTTCTGGAGCACATCCCAGTGCGGGGCTTTAAAGAGGCTGGAGACGAGGCCAGTGCACATCCCGTGGCTGTGTCCTCCCGCTGCCTGCATCCCTGCAGGAATACCGGGACTGGGCTGGCGGTGGGATGCAGGGTGGGGTCCCATCCTGGTGTCCCATCCCGGTGGTTGGTGCCTTGGCAGAGGGGCACTGACAGGGGAGGGAGAACAAAGCTCCCACCGGGCTTTTGCATCACCGAGGTTTATTCTGAGCGCTGCTAATTGCAGCCTCCTCTGCTAAATCATTAATAGCTCGTCAGCCCCGGCAGAGATCCTGCAGTGCCAGAGGGTTCTGGGGACTCAGTCACTAACTTACTTCAGGGCAGGGGCAGTTCTTTTATTTTCCTACTGTTTGCCTTTTCCAGCTGCTGTCTGCTCACCACTGGGATGTGCTGGGACAGCCTGGGGACATGGTCACCTTCAGCCTCACTGCCCAACAAACCCAGCCCCCCTTTCCCCCCTGCTCCCTGTTTCCATGTCCTTTTCTCACCCCGGAGCAGGGCCTGGAGCTGGGAAGGTGACAAGCAGCGCAGGCGTGGGAGGTGATCCAAAAAAAGCAATTATTTTCTGAGCAGGTGACGACAAAACAGGCACCTCCTGAGATCACTCCAACCTCTGCAATTCAGAGGTTTCACTTTTGGGGAAGGGGGGGAGCTCAGAGCATGGCAGATCCCAGCCCTTTTTCCCTTCAGGAGGTACCCTTGGGGATCCAAGTTCCAAGGAAGCAGAGAAAAAACGGGATAGGAGGATGTTCTGTTAAATTCCTGCCTGTCCCCACAGATTTTTAGGCACGGGGAGCAAGGGCAGAGCTTTGACCCCACGATGGAGCAGCCCCCCTCAAATCCCACACCCCGTTTTGGAGCAGCATTTGTACCAGATACACGAAGACTTCAGCTTTCCCACAGCCTGGAATGCAGCCTGCAGGGCTTGAGGAGGTGCCGTGGCCGTGTCTCCGACCCCGGGCGGTGGGGGTGCGGTGTCTGCCGGGGACGAGCCGGCAGCGGGGGCTGGAGCAGTGACGCAGCGGCCGCTGACGCCGCTCCGGTGCCTGGCAGACGTGTGGCAGCCTGGCAGGAGCAGGAATGTGATGCAAAGCACAAGAGATGGGGTTTTATTTTTCCTCCTAAGGTAAGGGAAGCAAAAAATGTCACCAGCTTCGTGGGCGACATCCACTGCAGGCCTGGATGTGGCTCTGCTCGGAACAGATTTAGGCTGGGTTTTTGTTTTTAGCTTAGGCTTTTGCTCCGGTTTGGGGGTGGGATGAGAGCTCGGCACCTGGTTTCTGTCATCCCTTTTATCCTCTCTGCTGCTGCGATGTGAAACACGAGCAGGTTTTACCCCACGCACCCACATGAAGATGCAGCTACTGAGGATGGCATTCCGGCAGGAGGAACCCCAAAAACCAGACCCTGTGGGGGAGCAAGGTGGCAGCGGCACCTCCCTCTCCAGCCTCCTCCCCGTGCCATCCCACCCCCAGGTCTATTAACACCGTACAAATGATAAAGACATTGGCAGCGATGTTGCCGTGACAGCCCTGCGACCACGGACACGCGGTCCTGGTGTCACATTCCCTGCACCCCAGGATGGGACACCCCAGCCACAGCCCCGGTGGGTGGGTGGGGAAAGGGGCTGCCCCCTGCTCTTCTCCTTGCCCCAGGCAGAGGCACCGGCATCCCTCAAACAGCACCAAGACCTTCTCAACTGCTTCTCTCAGGAGCTGCAGACTCAAACCAGCCGTTCCAGTAACCCCTCACAGTCCAGCCTCCCCCACTAATCCATCCCGGTAAATCTCCCCAGGAAACCTTTTCCGGTCCAGCCTTTCCCAGTGACCCCTCAGTAACCGTCTCAGCGTTTCCCAGTGATACCAGCCCTCCCCAGCTCCCTATTACCCACCGGCGCCCCCCGAGGGCACCACAAACTGGTAACGCCACCGGGACAGTGCCCTACCGGGCCACACCGATCCCGGTGTCCTGTCAGTGCTGGCACCGAGTCCGTGTCGATGCCGTACTGGGCAAGGGGCCAGTGTTGGACAGAGGCCGGTGCCAGTACTGGGGCTGTAAAGGGCCATACCGAGCAATGCCCAGCCCGGTGCCAGTACCGGGTCTGTACAGGGCCATACCGAGCCATGCCCAGCCCGGTGCCAGTACCGGGTCTGTACAGGGCCATACCGAGCCATGCCCAGCCCGGTGTCGTACCAAGGCTGAGGCCGTGCCAGTATCGATACTGGTAATGTGCCCTACCGGGCTATGCCGAATCCCGGGCCGGTGCAGAACCAAGCCCGTACCGGTGCCGTACCGATCCGTACCGACCCCCGGGCTGCACCGCACCGCTCCGGGGTCGCGCGTCCCTCCCCTACCCCTCCACCCCCCCTTTGCCGGTGCGGAGCCGCTGCCGGAGCCGCCCCCGCCGGGGCCGAGCCACCCGCCGCCAGCACCGCCCCCGGGCTATATATCCCCGCCGCATCCCTCCTCTCCCGCTCCCGCTCCCCATGGCTGCATCACCGGCGGCACCGGCATCCCGGAGCCCCGCCCGCGGCGACGCGCAGCGCCCGTCCCGCGGCGGCCCCGGCGGCCCCGAGGCGGGCACGGAGAGCGGCGGCGGCGGCGGCAGCAGCAGCCCCGGCGCGGTGGAGCTGGCGGCGGCCCGGCGGCGGCTGGTGGCGGCGGAGGGGCGGCGGCGGGCGGCGGCGGAGCTGGAGGGGCGCGTGTGGCAGGTGCACTGCGCCCTGCGGCACGCAGAGCTCCGCCTGGCCGCCCGGGCAGAGACCCTGGGCCGGCTCGGGGCCGGCGTGGCACAGGCACAGCTGGCGCTGGCGGCCCAGAGCCAGCGGCTGCAGAAGGGGCTCCGCCGCCGCCCGCGCCCCCGGCCCGCCGCGCTCCTCGCCGCCGCCCGCGCCCTCCGCAGCTGCGTGCCCTGGGCACCGTCCCGGGCGCGGGGGGCGGCCGCGGGGACCCCCGTGCGCCGGCTGCCGGCGGCGCCCCGCGGGTCCGCGTAGGGAGGGAGGGGGACGGGGAGGTGTGAAGGGGGCTGGGGTGCTTAAGGGGGTTTGATTGGGGGGGGGTCTGAAAGTTCTTTGGTGGGTCGGGGGACCCTGCAGGATCTGGGAGGACCCAGTGCTTCGAGGAGCCCTGGGGAGTCTGATTGGTGAAGATCCGGGGGGGGGGGGGTCCATGGAGCTGGAGGGGTCTGTGGGGGGGGTCTGGGGAGCTGGAGGGGTCTGGGGTCCAGGGGGGACTGATTGGTGAGACACAGGACTTCTGAAAGTGGGGGGCACTTTGATGGGTCTGGAGAACCCTGCAGGATCTGGGGGACCACATGGTGTGGGGGTGACCCAGCGGGGTCTTGGGTCCTTTAGAGGGTTTAGGGCAGTCTGGTGGGTTGGGAAGCAGTGCGTTTGCGGGTCCTGATTGGATTCTGCAGGGTGGGAGAGGTCTGGGGGACACTATAGGGTGGGGGGACCCAGCAGGATCTGGGGAATCTGATGGGCTGGGACCCAATGGATTTGGGGGTCCTGGAGGGATCCTGCAAGGTAGGGGAGGTCTAGGGGACCCAGCAGGGTCTGGGAACCTTGGGGGTGGCCTGAGGGGTCCAATGGACTGGGAGGGCTTAAGCATTCCTTTGGGTCCCAGAGAGATCCTGCAGGGTCTGGGGGACTCTATGGGGTGGGGGTACCCAGCAGGATCTGGGGACCCCAGCAGTGGCCTGAGGGGTCTGATGAGAGAAGACCCTGTGGGGTCTGAGTTGTTTGGGGTTCTGTAGGGGACCCTCTGGTACTGGAGAACTCCTCAGCAGGGTCTGGGGACCTTGGGGTGCTCTGAGGAATTTTTTGGCAGGGAGGGGGTGGTCCCTGGGTGTTTGGTGTGCTTGAAGGATCCTGCAGGGTCGGGGTCCAGAGTGTGCAGTGAGCTGGCAGACTCGGGGGGGCAATGAGGTTGGGGGGCCCAGCAGGGTCTGGGAACCCCCATGGGGTTGGGAGACCCTCCAGGGTCTGGGATCCCTGGAGGATCTTGCCAGGTTTGGGGGTGTTTATTAGGGAATCTACTGCCAGCACCTCCATTTCAGTCTGGAGTCACCTCCCTCTCTAAGGCAGCAGGTTCAGGGCAGCCACTCTGGGGCAGGGCCCCTTCCCTGTCTGAGCCCCACAGACCCCCAGGAGGGGTCCCAGAGCCCTTGGGCCAGCGGGACACTGATGGGACTGATCCTGGGCCTCTGTGCAAGCCTCAGTGGGGAATCGAGCGGGCTGGGGCCACCCCACTTCCACCAGCCCTGGCCAGCGATTTCAGCCCTGATAGGGGCAGAGAGCGGGAGAGGACTGGAATTCATGAGGGCTGGAACTCGTGATGGCACCGGCACCGTTCGCCTCCCTTGGAGCTGGAATTTTGGGACTGCTCTGATGACTGACCAAGCGGGTGACACTTGAAACCTCCCAGTGCTTCCAGCAAACGTCCTTGGGGACATCCAGTGTCACCTGGCAGCAGAGCCTGTCGCTGCAGGCTGGCGAGAAGGCACGAGGAGGCGGAGGAGGGCTCGGGATGAAGGATCCCTCCCCGGGCAGAAGGCTCGTGCAGGGCCCTGGTGCTGCTGTCCCCATCACTGTCCCCATCGCTGCCCCACCAGCCCTGAGCCGGCCTCAGGGCAGAGGGCTCGGACCTGACGGGATCACCCCTTGGGATGGAGGACTCGGACGTGATGGGATCACCCTTTCCCCGCCGGGAATTGCAGTGGCTCAGCTGGCAAAGCCCCCCCTGTGATCCCGCTCCTCCGCCGGACACAGCGCTCGCCGTCCCCGGGATAACAGAGCCCCTCACCTGAGCCACCAGCTCTCGCTTCGCTGTGCCAAGCTTCTGCAGTGGCTTTCCCCCAGAGGCTGCATGAATCCCACTGGAAAAAACCGTTATTTATTTATTTTACTTAAAAAACCCCCCCACTTGGTTTCGGGCTGGGGCGGGGGGTGGGATTTCACTGACGTATGAATGTGCCGCGACTACCTTGGTGTGACAGCAGGTCTGTTGTGTAACCCTGGCTGCTGCTGCTGCCCTCACTGTGCTCTGGAATAAACTTTGATATATATTTTATTCATTACATGCAGTGTCCTGAGGTGCTGGTTGAAATATAACCGAGAGGGTGATTAGAATGGGGATTAGCAAATAAGCCCCGGTAATGGAGTGTAATTAATACCAGGGTGGATTTCTCTGATTATCGACCTCCTCCCTCCTGCAGGGGTGTGGGGACATGGAAAATGTGCTCAGAATTCCTGCAGCAGAATGTCACTGTGGGTGGCTGGGGTCTCTGGCACCACATATGTAAGTATATATTTATATATATATATATACACAAAAATACAGACATAGTCTTTCCTGAAAAACTCATATAAGGTGACAAATAAGGTACAACTTGCACATAAATATGTGCAGAAAAGAGGTGGAAGAGAAATATTTAAGCTACCACCCTGCCTTTATTGTCCTGCACTGGGAGACCTATGCCTTATTCCCATTAATCCCAATTTTCAAACAATTCTCAGTTTTGTGCTGCCCTAAGTGGAGCTCTGAGTGCTCTAATACCCCTTGGTGCTCCCTAATTTCTGCCCTTTCACTAAATCAGTCCCTGGGGGAGGTTTTCCCCTCAGTGCACAACTGTAATCCCAGCCAGGAGGTGATTCCTGGAGCCGGGTGGGGAATTTGCTGTTAATAGCAGCTTATGGGTCTCAGCCAGGAGAAGGGACACATTATCTCTCTCAGGCTTTCAATTAATGGTATGAAATGCACAGCTTGGGCTTAAATCCCTTGATTTTTTTCCCCCCTTTCTCTGGTGATTATTTGCAAATCAGCTTTTGACCCGATTAGAGCAGAACCGACTCAGAGGAAACGCAGGGAAAGACCTTAAAATTGTGATAAATCAACTCCATTAAACCAGTCAGACCAAAATAATTCAAAACCCTTCCATGCAATGGTTCATGCACACCCTTTGGTCTCAGTAAGGTTATGGTCTCATCCCACTTTGTATTCCTGGAGTATCTTCAGCTGGAACATGACATCCATCACAATTCACTCCTACTCCCATTTTCCTCAGGGATGTGGTCAACGAGGACAGGAGGAGTGTGGAAGGGCAAGAAGGAGACCCCAGGGCCTCCTCACCACCCTGCAAATAGATGAAATAAGGATACCTGTCTGCTCCAGGTGCCCAGGGAACACCATGCCCAGGATTTCAAAGGATGGGGAAAGGCAGTGGGGTCCCCTCTGTCTGCTGGGACAGGGGGACATCTCCTCATTCAGCAGTTAAACTGCACTGGGGAGGTTGGGATGGGCAGTTATGTCCTGGTTTTTGGAGCGGAGGAATAACAGCAGCTCCCCAGGCTGATACTGGAGTGAGAAGTGATCCCTGTTTCAGGAAAAATAATTAGAAGGGAATAAAAGCTGGTCTCAGAGTCCCATTTCACAGCGGCTGCTCATGGGAGCAGCATCACCTCCTGCACCTCCACAAGTCCCAGGAAGCTCCAGCTGACACTGCCACTGCTGGAGGGTCCTGGGCCTCTTTGGGGCACAGATTAGGAGGTGGGAATCCCACAGCACCTCGAGCCAGAGGCCAGAGCAGGAGCCAGACCCCCCCGGTGCCTTTGGGATCACCCCCTGCCTCGGGAGCACAGGGCTTTACATAACCCCGCTGCCTTCCTGCCCTCCTGCCAGGGGCTGTTACATAAACAGCACTGACACTTGTTGGGTTTATGGGATTATTTTGTTACAGACTTTCTGGGAAAAATAAAATTAATGTGGCCTGTTAATACCTAAGCCTGGCTTCTCTCCTTTCCGCTGCTAATTCCTTCGGGCTGGTCCTGGCAGAGTGTGTGGGTGTGAGGGGGGTTGGCAGGGCCACAGGCACCCACGGGCAGGGGTGCCCAGAGCTGAAATGCCTCTGAGGGGCTGGTGTGAGAGAGGGGGGGGGGAAGGCAGGGGCTGTGGGAAGGTGGTGGAGGGAGACAGGGACAGTGAGAGTGATGGAGAGGGGGACGAGGATAGTGGGAGGGTGATGGGGAGGGAGAGGGGATGGTACAAGAGTGATGGAGGGGTACAGAGACCAGGTGAGAGTGATGGAGGGGAGGACAGGGACAGTGGGAGGCTGATGGACAGGGAACAGGGACAGTGGGAGGGTGATAGAAGGACGACAGGGATGGTACGAGAGTGATGGAGAGGGGACAGGGCGGGTGCAAAGTGATGAAGGGAGGTAAAGGGACAGGGCGAGGGCGATGGAGAGGGTCGGAAAGGGACGGTCCCGGAGCGATGGGGAGAAGGGGACAGGGCTACCGTCCCGAAGGTCCCAGGGACCGGGAGGCCACCGAGGCCGCCCGGAGCCTCCTGGTTCGGTCACCAGAGGGCACTGCGGGAGCCGCTGCCGCAGCCGCCGAGGCGGAGCAGCCCCGGGGCGGCGGGGACCGGGCGGGCGGGTCCGGCTCCCCCCTCCAGCCCCGGCACCGGCGAGGTGTCCCCCTGCACAGGGGTCCCCAGCCAAGGCTGGGGGACAAGCCTCACCCTCACAGAGTCCCCTCACTCCCCCCCCCTCCAGCATCCCCCCAGCTCTCCCCTTTCCATCCCCCCAAGTTTCCGTCTCCATCCCCCCAGCTCTCCCCTGTCCTCCCCTGAGCTTCTCCTCTCTCCACCCTCCCAGCTCCCCCTCCCCACAGCCCAGCATGTCCCTGCACAAACCTCTGTGTGAGCGCTTAAAGAACATTCCCCCTGCTCGCCCTTAACTCTTTCCTGCTGGGACCCCCAGTGTCCATTCCACGCCCTCTCCCTGCTCCGGTGTTTTCTTCTTTCGGAGGTGGTTACAGCCCCAAGTAGTCGCAGGGAGTGGAAATTGCCCCCCCTGGCCCTGATTTACCCCTTCCAGCATCTGAGCCCAGCCTGGGCTCCCCCAGAGCTTTTATGGGGGCTCCAAGTCATCTTCCCCCACTCCCTCAGCCCTGGGGTGGGTAACCTTGTGCTTTATCCCAGTTCAGACGTG